TGGGGGAATCACAGTGTTCAGTGCTGTGTGTTGAACGGATGAAGCAATGAATGAATCAGCAGATGAACTGCTCAGAATATGAATGAGTGCATGAGTAAACTCGGAGAATGGATGAAGTAATGGATCACTGAGAGGCTCCAGGAACGGACACATGGACTCCAAGGATGCCTGAATCCCAACCAGGGTGAAGTGTGCCATTACGTTACCTGAGTCTGGGGGCCAGTTTGGGGGGAAGAAAGTCATGGACTTACCTGGGAAGCTGACTTCTTAGGGCTGAAGCCCTCATGTTTAGGGGAGCAGGTGGGGGAGGTGGTGCTGCCCGAGGACGCTGAGCCCTTGCCGCTGTCTGTGAACCAGGAAAAAGGCAGGAACGGGGACCCCCCTGACCTGCCAGACCCCTCCACCGACTCCCTGTGGAAAGAGCGTCCAGTATGGGTGTGGGCACAGAGGGGAGGGCCAGGGCCCACAGAGAACCATGGACAGGAGCCGCTGGTGGGGCACTGTGGGCACCTCTTACCTGCTTCCCATAGACAGGCGGTTGCTGCCCTTCTCTTTCCGGCTCTTGCCAGTGGATGCTCGGCGCAGGGTGACCCTGTGGGGAGGGTAGGGGGCGGTAGGGCAGTGCTGCCTGGTGTGCTACCCCTTACCCTGACAGCTCCAAGCCCTACATTCTGGCCCCTCCTCCACTCACCCCAGGTCCAAGAACTTTCGGCGAGTCTTCTTATCCAGGCCAATGGTGGGGCTGGCAGGCTCAGGAGGGCTGGCATCCCGGCTGTCATCTTTGGAGGAGAGAGGGAAGGAAATAGTCTGTGTGGTGGCTTGCCTGCCTCCTTTGGCTGCAGTGTGGAGTGCTAGAAATTCTCTTGACTTAGAATCAGGCAACCTAGTTCTGGTGCCTTTCACTAGCTGTGTGACCTACGATCAGTTACTTTACCTTTCTAAGCTTCCTTCATTTCAAATGACACCTGCCTATTTCACAGTACCTAATGGGATGTTCATGAAAGCCTTTTACAAACTGTAAAACACTCTGAAAAGGTAGAGGCCGCTACATTTACTGTTAATTTTATCATGGCCAAGTTTTAAACAGCCTTCCATTCATTGCTCAAATGTCACTTTCTCAGAGAAGCCTTCCAGGACGCTCCCAAGTAGGTCAGGCATCCTGTTAAATGGTGTCCGCTACCGCGCACATTTCCTGCAGAGCACTTACTACTCTTTGTAACTATACACATAATTAAGGGTTGATTTGTCTTATTTGTTTTTCCCCTAAACTACAAGCCCCGTAAGGACAAGGACTACATCTGT